TGGCCTCCAACCTAATAGTACTAGCGATGGCCTCCAACCTAATAGCGGTGGCCTCCAACCTACTAGCGATGGCCTCCACCTAGTAGCGATGGCCTCCAACCTAAAGATTACTAGCGATGGCCTCCAACCTAATAGCGATGGCCTCCACCTAGTAGCGATGGCCTCCACCTAGTAGCGATGGCCTCCAACGTACTAGCGATGGCCTCCACCTAGTAGCGATGGCCTCCAACCTACTAGCGATGGCCTCCAACCTAATAGTGAGGGCCTCCAACCTACTAGCCATGACCTCCAACCTATTAGCGATGGCCCCCACCAGTAGTGATGGCCTCCAACCTAATAGCGATGGCCTCCAACCTAATAGCGATGGCCTCTAACCTACTAGCGATGGCCGCCAACCTACTAACTACAACCTAATAGCAATGGCCTCCTACCTACTAGCGATGGCATTTTACTCGCAGAAGGGCCCCCCCGGGCACTGGTGGCGGGGAAGGGGCTGAGTGGCGGAGTCCGAAGGCAACCTAACCTAACAAAGACTTGCAACGCACAGGAGAAGATCAACCTAGTAGCCTCCAATCTAGTAGCGATGGCCTCCAACCTAATAGTACTATCGATGGCCTCCAACCTAGTAGCGATGGCCCCCAGCCTAATAGTGAGGGCCTCCAACCTACTAGCGATGGCTTCCAACCTACTAGCGATGGCCTCCAACCTAGTAGCGAGGGCCTCCAACCTAATAGCGTTGGCCTCCAACCTAGTAGCGAGGGCCTCCAACCTATTGGGTGTTGCCTCCAACCTCATAGCGATGGACTCCAACCTAGTAGGTCACTTTTTTTTTGGATTTGCTCACAAGGCCAAGTGCTCTGACCTGTGCTGAAGCCTCGTGAGGCTGGTGCACTCTACGATCCCAACAAGGCAAAGCTCACTTTGGAGCCGCTTAACTTGACGGAGGCACCAAATCTTTGAGGTTCGCTCCTGGCTTGCTGAAGTCCTATGGGAGGTGCTCGAAGCTCTTCAATTTCTTGTGAAATTGAATAAGTCTTTGCTGAAGGGTGCCATTTTTTGGTTTTTGTGCTGTTGCAGGGAACTGCTGGATTCGTGTACCGCTGCAAGGGCCTTTTCAGGTGGGAACTTGTGGATTGATTTGGAGATGCAGCAGATCAGAAAAACATTGGCAGGGGACCTCCAGAAGATGAAGAGGCTTCCCTTTGCGTTTTGCATTCGCAAACAAAACATCATTGCTGGTGTTTGTCAGAGGACATCATCGCTGATGGTAATGTTTCATGATCTTCCTTGTGTGCTGATTGCTGCAATCTATATACTTAATCCATTGCATTCAACATCGTGGAGAGTCTTGTGAGTCTGCCGAAGCATCAGAACCAAAGGGTTGCGCGGCGATCTCGCGACAGGATCCACCAGAGCAGACAACCATCGTATCGCACGCCCTGCGCTCATTGTATCTGTGTGTAGCGATGGGAGTTGGCCACTGGAAGGCGCTGCAAGGAGTTGGCAAGATCTTTGAAATTGAACAGGCCGGAGTGCCGCCAAACACCAAAGATCTTGCCGCTTCCACCGTGCAATCAGCGATCAGGCCGGCAAAGCCACGGTCGAGAGGAGCAAAATGCTCTTCATTGGCCGGGGCTTACAGCGAGATGCGGTGACCTCAGTATCTTGGTGGCTTGTCTTCTTGCTCCAAGTGCTTGGAAACAGGAAACAGGATCAGGACTGGCTGAGGTTTAGGGCTGCAGCTGCCACTACCTCTTGTCACCAGTACAAGTTCAGAGTCTAGCAAGGGCTTTAGCTTCCAACTTGCAACTCCAGATATCTGAGGTTCTTGCTGCTGGCTCCTGCCTAAGGGCATCTTTAGAATACTTTGCTGCAATGTCACAGATGAGCAAAACTATAAATCTAATCTCAGGCCTCAAGGCTTGTCTTGCCTCTGACTGATGGAGTCTGCATGAAGCCGCGCAGAAACAAGAGTTCTGGTTTCTCAGTCGTTCGGCACTCTTCAGACCATGACTCGTTGACTTGGTGCGACTTGGCCAGAACTGGTTGTGACCGCCATCTCTTGGCTCAAAGCTGGGACGAGAGGGATACCTACCCATTGTCGGACAGGTCCAGGTGATTTAGAGTACAGCAACCTAATTGCAGTAGCCTTCAACCTAATAGCAATGGCCTCCAACCCAATATATAGTGATGGCCTCCAATGGTGTTGAAATCATGTTGCATTTATCCTTGACACTAGGCCGCTAGATTATTAGAATTTCTCACTTGTCCGTGCATTTGCACATAAACCAACTTACAAGAAGTTGATTTGAGTCATGGCTGCCACCTCAGTCTCAACTATCCCGGCCAGACTGTATGTCCATATCTCCGTTGGGCCTGCTAAGGCCTTCGCAGCTTTCCTGCACGAACTTTGGAAGGAGCGGACTCAATGGATGCATTTGATGTGTGTGTTTTCCCGCAAAGCATTCCAAATTAGCAGATGACACCCCAGGTGTCGTGTTGCGCACGAGCAAGCGGCAAGAGCAATCAAGAAATTGGAGGTGCAATCAAGCGTTCAATGTTAAAGAGGAGTTTCGCGAGAATCTCAATCCTTTTATCTTAAGTGGATTTGCTTGCCAGACTTTGGACGACCCGTCTCTCCTTCAGCGTCATCCATTTCGATTTGTGTACCTCGCCATGCAAGCGAAGCTGGACTCTTCTAAACCTCACCTTAACAATGAGATTATGTACGTTTGATCCTATCTTTTGTGTGCTCGGTTTACTTTTTATCCCGCCCGATGCAGCCAATAGAGATTGCTAGATTTTGTCTCAAGCAAGGCCGATGATGAGAAAGATGTTTCGACTGTTTCCACCACTTGCAGTGACTTTGAACGCCGCTCAAGCATTGGCATTGCAGAGGACAGTCTCAGACCTCTCTTGTGTCCGTTTGTAATCCAGTTGAGAGTGGCGTCTAGGTTGGAGTACTCACGAATTGAGAGTTCTGCCAATCCTGCTAGGACAGTTCCCTGATTCACGAAGATTCATTTGAGTTAATGTCGTTGCATGCTGGACCCTGAGCTGGCACAGTGGGTATCATATGCAATGAAGAGGTGCGATTCGCAAAGGACTGGTAAACTGAGGCATTTCTGGAGTCTGAAGATGAACAGGTTCCGAGCAGTGCATCTACGGCATGGGGCTTGTTGAAGCGCAGTGCGCAAACAATCCAGACAGAAAACAAGCGGAAGCCAGCCTTGACTTTCCTTTCTATTCCATGGACGAGTGGTAAGAAGTTTGAGCCGCGAAGCCACTAAACCTCGGATTTATTCATGCTCTGCCTGAGGTGATGAGGCATCGCCCCCGAAGGCTTGTACCTGAGAAGTTGATCAAGAAGTTGCGTAGAATTGCTTTCCCAGTTTCTGATGCTCCAGGATGGTTCATAAAAGTGTTGCTCATGGTCCTAGTGGTTGCTCACGAATTCATTTGAAACAGTTTGTGGACGTTTCCATTTGAGGCAGACTTGCACAATCTCTCTGCAAATGACCCCCGCAGCAAAGTTGTCAGGATGGAAACTATCGAAGAGTTCTTAGAGAGTTGAAGCGGGAGCGGCAAAGCTACGCTCCACAAAGAATCACTCATAGCCTTGGCGGTCTTTTTCTGCTTGTCACTTTAGTCTGCGCAGGAAATGTTGATGCTCATCCCATGACGGTTAATGCACGAAAGAGACTGCAGATGTTTATGGGCGCCATCTTGCGTCAGAACTCGTGTCATTTTTTTATGAGTGCGAACAAGTGTGGACAAACCATGAACTGGATGTACTATGATGTACTTTGCAGAGATGGCGGAAGGGAAGTTCCAGTTGCTAGGAAAGACCCTTTGAGTTGTGCATTGAGCTTTCGAGCATTTGCCTCATTTTTGTTGGAGAAGTAATGCAAGAGAGCCAACTCGAAGTGGTCAGAATCTCTTCGAAGGCTCACCAAGTGAGCTGCACGTTTCCGAGCACCATGGTCTGCTAGTTTGAATGACAAAACAGGGAGCGTTACGTTTGAACACTTGCGGCTGAACAGCCTCACATTTGGATAATGCAACTTACCGAAGTCGCATATGACATGACAATGGTGGTACTGGGTCAGTGCTCCTTTCTATTTCTGGGATGCTAGCTAAGTGGAGTTTTGTGCTGTTGAGAACACGGTGAATAGCGCTATGCCTATTATAACTTCAAGCTAGCGGCCCTCTTTGGGGCCCTCTCCTGCTCCTCCTTGCAGGGACAACATGCAGGAGGTCTTTGACTTTCTTGATGACCTGGAGCCTCAGAGAAGGCCAGTAGGCTTCTGGAGCATTTGTTGGAATATGTTACCTCTAGGCTTTACTTTCAGTTCTTCCCTTTGTTACTAGTAGCATCTTTGCTACTAGTAGTAATGCCAAGAGCGCCCCTACTAGCCTTGCTCCTAGTAGCGATGCCCTTTTTTACTAGTAGCGATGCCCTTGCTCCTAGTAGATGTTTGATTACCAGGTAGATCCTGGCAGGGTCGGAATGTGATTGTTGTGTGATGAAGCGGTGTGAGGATTTGGTGTGTGATGAATGTGACGTGCTTGTGACTTGTTGAAGGGTAGTATAGCTTGGTGAAATATAATGTGGTGATTCTTGATGTGGTGAAGCGTTGTGGTGAGGTGAAGAGATCTTTGCATTTCGGATGCTTGTCTCTAGAAAACTACTTTTCAATACTTTATTCTGCAGTGGACATTTCTAGTTTCGGTACTTTTATCTAGAAATTTCTACTTTTTAATACTCTTCTCTTTGGATTTCTACTTCTCAATAGGTTTCACAGTAATTTCTCTTCTCTAGACATCTGACTTTTCCATTCTTTTCCATGCATGTCTCTGTAAGTTTCTACTTACTTTTTCCATACTTGCCCCAATAGAACTGCGCCACACACGATTCCCCTTAACAATCCCTTCTAAATCTTCCGCTTCTTCAGCTTCCAGTGCCCAATGTCAGGGCGATGCGAGCCTACTCAGCACGCCCTGGCAACCAGCTCCGAACTCGCCGGGAAAACCCGTCCCGCAACCTTCCCGTGCTCGCCGCATCCGCCCCTTGCCAAGCCGGGCCGGCATCCAGGGGTAGGTAATGTAGCTGGTAGCTTAAGTAGCTACTAGTAGCAAGGACACAGTCTTTGCTAATGAAACGGCTAGATACTTTGGGGAAGCTAGCCTGAAGATCGGATGAATTGACCACGCACCTGTGACGAGGTGCTTGAGAACTTGAGGGGACGTGATATGTTACTTTTTTTGTTAACGCACACAATGGCCAGATTAGAGGGGCGTTTTGGCTGTGAGCAATTCAACAATCGGTGCATCAATCCATTTGCCATGTAGGGACAAGAAGATTGACTCTTCCAACTTGAAGCGCATCGTGGGAGCCCCTGCTGAATACTTTGGGTCTTTTTACATGGGTCTTTTTACATTCTTAATGAGTTGAGCATTTTAGCTTTCATGAGAAACTACAAGGTTAACGGAGTTTTCATTTGTTGAGTTACGTTTTCCTCGGCCTTCTCATCCCACCCAGGCACAAGTGCTTGGGGATCAGATCTCTGATGCGGTGCCCACACTCCCGAAAGCAGAGAAACGCTGATCTTGATGGTAAACGGGAAAGGAATATGATTCTTGTCTTCCCAAGGTTGTAGGATTGTAGGGATTTGGTAGTTTGCTCGAATGGCCTTTGACGGCAGAACCCGACAGTGCTGGATTTGTGCAGTCTGAGCTCCCCAGGCTAATCTCAACTGCAACACATGCAAAAACTTTTACCGCCGCTCATTTACAGACCTCAAAGCAGTGTGCAGCGTTCTTGATAAGACCCAGGTGGGAGATACAAGACATTGCGATAGATCCAATAGCTCTTGCTTTATTTTTCAGGCAATGGCCGATGGGCGGGGAGCTGGCATTGATGAGGTTCGGGAAGGGACAAAAAACAATTTTGGCGTTCTCGTTTCCAAAGACTCGTTCTTGGTTGTAGGAAGGGGTAGCTGAGTCCAAGACCCAAGCCCTCTCAAAAAGCAAGAAAAGACCAAATGAAAGGTCTATATAAGGAAACAAAGAAAAGGACATAAATGAAAAGACAGAAAGGAAAAAGGGAAGGAAGAAAAGAAGAAAACCAACAAGACATGAATGAAAGAAAAGAACGAAACAGACGTTCTAAAGGTTCAAAGAAGAAGAAGAAGAAGAAGAAGAAGAAGAAGAAGAAGAAGCAGGAGAAGAAGAAGAAGAAGAAGAAGAAGAAGAACATATAAAAACATTTTTCCTCAAACAGTATGGCCACGCTAGGTGTTAAGGCCGGGTGTTTGATTCCGCACATGCTCATCAGCATGTGCGGCTAGTACGCTGCTATTTACGATACATTCACGCCTCTCGAGATCTCTAACCTCTAAACTGCATTTCGACTGCGCAGGCTTGCACGAGCGGGTGCCTTTTTTTGGACCGCGTTCTCGTTGTGGTGCCGTGCGCATTTTCCGACTTGGTGGTCACTTTTCGTGGCAGGCGCAGGGGAAGCCTCGTGTTTTGGTGGTCCAAAGTTGACTTTTCGTGGCAGGTGCAGGAGATCGGCATATTTTACTTCGGTGTGTAGACTTCGGGGCTCAGCACTTTGGACTGGAGATGTCTTGGGCGCCAGTTAGTTTTGTGGCAAGTGCAGTGAACCGTGACCGTTGACCTTCGGACATTGGGCTCGTTTTCGGAAGTCGGGGAAGCCTCAAGTGAAAGCTGCGTGTTGACATCTTGATGTTGTCTTTGGAAATGCTATTGCTGCGAAATGCCTTGACACGGCTGCGCGATGTGAATCTTGAGGTGCAGATTTCGTGGCAGGCGCAGCGCTTTGTGAGCTTGAAGTGCAGACTTCGTGGTGGGCGCAATGCTTTGAGAACCTCACAGTGCAGATTTCGTGGCAGTGCTCTCATATGTGTGCTTTCATG